AGTTTTTATGAGCGTATATTTGCACATTTATTATCCTATTCACCGCATGTCTGCAATCTATTTTTATCTGGCTATAAATATTGATTAAAGCCTAAAATGGTGGGTGTGGCGCACACACTTTTCTGCTACACGTCCTTTCGTTTTGCTTTGCTTTATCTTCTTCGCTTCATTCGCTGTGATTCTCTAGTCGTCCGTCCATATCAACGGGTGTATAAAATATACGTATTCAAACGCACATTCTCATATTTGATTTATTTAATTCCGTTATTCGCCAACGCGAGTTAGGTCGATAATATTGAACGAGGATAGCCAAGATGTATATTTTGACAACAATCATTCATACGATATAACTGGAGTCAGACACCGGGCTGGAAAATATTCGTCTCCATATAAAGTATGGAAATATATTGTTTCCATCCTCACCCTATAGGCGAGCTACGAAATCAAACCTTGTGACGAGCGCCTCTGATCATTGATTCTACACTCATTAGAGTATAGGCGTCTCAGAGGTGACCTTATAGTGGCAGTTGGCAGAGTAAGCACTCCGGGACACCCCCTTAGGTACTCACAGAAGCTCAGTTGCAACACAAAACATTAGGGTTAAAACCCAAAAGTGAGAGGCACAACATACTAGAGTGGGCTGTTGTCACGCATACACTTTATGAGTTGCCAAATTTTGGAATTCACTGCTGGCTGAGGTAGTCCGTAATACTTTTCAAGAGTCCGTCAAGAGAATATTGATTTATTCTTAGGGACTCAGGACACTATCTCACTATGACCTTGCAGTTTTTTTCTTTTCATCGTTAAATTTACCAGGGCTCTTATTTGAGGGCAACGGTAATCGAATGATACTAGATACGGAAGCTCGTTAAGCGAAACGCTCCTCTATTTCTTCCAGGACCGTTTAAACAATTTAGGTAATTGCCAAAGTATAAATCACCGACTCATTTTATTTAGTTGATGGTCTATAAATTTATTATTGTAGGATTCAGCTGCCTATGAACGAACTATCTTATTGCTGGAAAATAAAATTTGCTCGTTTACTTTTCTTAGTAAACTCAATGTTCTTGTACCTGACAAATAAAATAGCAAAGCTCAAGTCATTGGTCGATAAAGAAAAACCGGATGTTATTGCTGTCTCAGATACTTGGTTTACGTCAGAAGTGTTAGATAATGAAATTCAGTTGACTGGTTTTTATCCAGTAAAGCTGACAGATGAAATCGTAGGGGAGGCGGGGTTATCCTGTACACGAAAAGTACCCTAACCATAAGTACAGCTGAGACAGTGGCACATGTTTCAGGGACATTTGAACTGGTGCGATGTAGGCTGAAATGTAGACAGCAAGATGTTGAGTTAGTGGTAGTACATCGACGTCCAGAATGTGTGGTAGATGATTTTCTCCTAAGTAAACATAAGTCTTGGCGTGACAAGGGTAAAAGCCTTATAGTAGGCGACTTTGACGCACCGTTCATAAACTGGGTTAACTTAGAAGTATGGTCATCATCCTCCCACCACTAGGGAGAAGTGACCACGCAATCATCTTATTCAAATTCATGGCTGAGATTGCCTGTTAAACAGTTGCGCCGGCCCGTCCTAACATGTGGAAGGAAGATATGGAGGCCATCAACTCCTCAGCATCGGCTGAAAACTGGGAAATTGACTCAGGGGCATCAGTACAAAAGGCATGGACGCGTTACAAGCGGTTATACAATCAGGCAACTCAACCATACATACCATGGACAGTCCCAAAGAAGAAGAATCACAGCCATCCCTGGGTGGGCAGGGATATTTACGTTTACTATGACAAAAGAAGAAATGTCGGGATGTCGCCACCCGCCTTGGCACAGCAGGTACGATGGAACGCTACAGATCGGTAAGAAACAAGTGTATAACAAAAATTCGAGAAGCTCAAAGAAAATATGAAATGCAGTTGGCACAATCACCACTCAAGCAGCCCAAGAGAATATTCTCGTAGATAAACTACAGAACAAGGATGCATGATTGGATTCCCAATCTAATTAAAGAAGGGAGGGAAGCTTAAATGATAGAGGAAGATCAGGAAAAATCAGAGGCTATGGCTGACTAAGCTGAGGCAGTTTTCACTCAGGAACCTCCTGTAGACAAAGAACCAGACCAAAATAAAGAGTCAATAAACCACCTGCTCGCCATAGACTTCGATCGAAACGATGTGCTTAAGGCTCTTAGCACCTTAAACATGGAAAAGTCAAGAGGACCAGATGAACTACACCCCAAATTCTTGAGACATATTGCACAATGTATGGCGGCCCCACTGACTGTGACATTCAATGTGTCACTTAATCAAGGTGTGTTATCTATGAGCTGGAAAAACGCAAATGTCACTCCTAAACATAAAACAGGACCAGGACAACTTCCATCGAACTACGGACCTGTAAGCCTCACCAGCGTTGTAGTTAAAATATTGGAAAGAATAGTCAAACGGACAATAATGGAATTTATTGAAACAAATAACTTGTTAAACATAGACCAACATGGTTTTAGAAAGGGTCTATCCTGTACAACAAACCTCCTTTTAGCAAGGGAATTTTAGATAAAGGCGCTAGACAACGGAAACTCAGTGGGTGTTGTCTACATAGACTTCAGTAAGGCTTTTGACAAGGTTCCAACAAATAGACTGCTATTGGAGTTGGAAAACCTTGGTATTGCTGGACCTCTCTTAAAATGGATTAAGGATTTCCTAGTAGGTCATAGATAGAAGGTAAGAATAAAATCCAAGTGCTTAGTGGAGTACCTCAAGGTTCCGTCCTAGGTCCTTTATTTTTTATAATGTATGTCGATGATCTTCCAAGTATAGTACACTCTCCAATGTTATTATACGCTGACGATGTAAAGATCTGGAGAGTAATAACTGGAGAGGCAAACACAGATGCTCTTCAAGCAGACCTAAATAATATAGTTAACTGGTCTAAAGAGTGGCTGATGCCTATCAACGCGGCAAAATGTGTCTACATGAACTTCGGGGACTCAAATGTTAATAGGTATACATAGGGGAAGTGCCATTACCCGTGGTCCGGTCTCATAAGGATCTGGGGGTGACAGTCAGTCAGGATCTTAAGACGACGACTCATTGCCGGGGTGTCGCAGCCAAAGGGTTTCGAACCCTCTAGGCATTAAAACGGACATTCGCTAAGCTAGATACTACCATGTTCACCAAAGTGAGAACTAAGCTTGAGGAATGCCTTCAGGCTGCAAGCCCTTGTTTAGAAGGTGACTCGGGCATTCCATAAAAAGCACAGAGGGAAGCTACCCGTGCAATTCCAGAACTCAGAGGTTTACCATACAAAGAGCAGCTTGAAAAGCTATATCTCATCACTCTGTCCTATTGAAGATTAAGGGGAGATCTACTTTTGATGTACAGAATACTGAGAAATGATTCTGGACTTAACTTATTCTCTCTTTTTATTCTCACTAGATCGGAACACCTCAGAGGACATAGCAGGAGAGTAGAAAAGACAAGAATGAACAAAATATCCATGGCATACAGGTTTTCATACCGAGTCATCAATACTTGGGACCTGCTGACCGAAGCAGAGGTATCTGCACCTTCAATTGACTCTTTCAAGAGAAAACTGGACACTCACAGAAGCATACTAGAAAAGGAATAACATAGGCCGTAGGCCTTCTGTCCCTACTTTACAAATCTGAATCTTCCATTAGGTTCAAAATATTGATTTCGAAAACCCTTCTAAGTGGTTCAAATGGTTGTGGACGGAATAGAAGAAGCTATCGCTTAGCGGGCTTCCGTGTCTAGTAGCAGGGGAACACCAATACCTCCAGGCAAGAACTCAGGTATATTAACGATAAAAGAGAAAAAACAATGAATTGGTAAATCATAGTAAGATACTATCCTTAGTCCTTAAGAATAGATCAAGTAGCCTCTTAAAATACTCCTGGGAAGTTTCTTGGACTAGCTCAGCCGGCAGCGAATTCCAGCATTTGACAACTCTTAAGGAGTAGAAGTTGTGTCTACAGTCCGTTCTACTATGTTGTATCTCTAATTTCTGGGTGTTACCCCTTAGGTTAGTGTTGAGACTAAGCTTAAGTAGGTGTTTAAGAGGATGTCCAGAAGTGTTAAGGATACTGTAAGCCATTAGAAGGTCACCTCTAAGACGCCTATACTCTAATGGGTAAAGGTCAAGTGATTGGGGACGCTCTTCATAAGGTTTAAATTTAAGTCTTCGAACTGATACACTCCAGAGTGTCCTTATCCTTTTGGAGTGTAGGATGGAATACTATGTTTCCGTGCTCTAAATGGAGACGAATAAAACCGTTGTAGATTATGTGGAAAGTTCTCCCGTCAAACTGACCAAAATGCGCTTCAATGTTACCAGTGCAAGGTTTGCTCGAAAGGCACTTCTGTCACAGTTGACGTATGACTTTAAGTCGTGGGGCCCCAGGACTCCTAAGTATTTTTCGACTCGGGATACTGCTAGAGAGGAGTTTCCTAAGGTGTAACTGTAGTCTGCAGATGGACTATTTTACACTTTGAGGTGTTAAAGGTAAGTCCGTTATCGTCTGCCCAACTTTGAAGTTGAGTCAGATCCTCCTGAAGTGCCTGTATATCGTCTTGGTTGAGTATCTCTCTCCAAAGTTTCACGTCATCGGCAAAAAGCAATAAGTTTGACGTTACCTGTTGAGGAAGATCATTTATCTAAGTCAGTAAGAGAAGTCCTAATACTGAGCCCTGGGGGACCCCACGGATGTAAAACGGCCTGTAGTAAAACGTTAAAAGTCAGTATTTATGAAAACAAAACTTTTTATGCCAGTTTGTATCTCGGTCTTTAGTTTGTTGTTATAAAGAACTCGGTGCTACCAAGCGCCCTATCCAACAGTAGTTCCTTAGTCATCATCCTGCCATATCTTGTATGACACAACCTCCACTGCTGCTGACGTGCCACTAGCAAATCTTATTCGCACTGCTATAAAAATTCAGTTTGCTGATCACATTAATATAAATATAATGGAGGAAAACGATCAATCGCAGAATATACCTTTATTATGCCGTAAAGGATGTGGATTTTATGGCAGTCCTAATTTTGATGGATTTTGTTCCAAGTGTCATCGCAGTATGCAGGTCCAGGCGGAAAATGTACAGGCAGTCTCTCGCGTAACTTCCGACTTCGAAGATAAGCTGTCTCCTGAAAGAAGTGTAAAGATTACAGCCTCTTCAGGTAACATATGCTTCTGCTCTGGTTTTTGGGTTACCTATGGTCCCTTTATTTGCAGTTACATATTTAGGACAATTAGTGTACTTTAAGGCTTATCACAAGTTCCTCAATCAAGATTTTTCTATTCAGTGTCACTAATTGCATAGGGGTTTTATCCATCCAGTTCAGAAATTCCTGGCTTGCTTTGCTTGTGTAAAATCCCATCTCAGCTGGTTGTCGCCGGTTTTTTTCTTAATTACAATTACGGAATAGATCTGTGTTTAGATCATGTTGGGAACTAAGCATTCTGTGTCTCGCTCATGTTTCTGGAATATAGGAGTCTAGTTATCTAAGCAACTACTGCTCTCTATCCACCGATTGCGTGCCATTATCTGAATAGTAAAGCTCTTTGTGTGACCGTTTGGACAAAATCTAGTCCCCTCTATGATATCTCATTTTGTCCACTCGACTGCCTTTGAATCTAGTAGGTAAATGAATTAATAATATCTGACCCTGCATGCCTCTTATTAGTTGCTCATATGTGTTATGAGCCACTGAGTGGAAAACGTTGATATTAATTGCAGCGTATTAAGTAAGGATGACATTGGTTGTTAAGACTATCCATCGACTAGAATGGTCAGGATATGTATTACAAATGCTCACCAAGTGGCGTTAGTTGGAGTCGTACTAGGTACAAACTAGTATAAGCGCGCGCGATCATCGTAACCAATGTCTGAAGACAGGTGATGTGACTCAAAATCTGTCCCACTGACAAAGATTCATTCACTCCACTTAAATCCAGTGTATTCAGGTTTTCTTGAACTTAGTGCATCAATCTAATCTCGTATCATACTGTTTTTGTCTAGTCCATTCCACTATTACTTTAGGATCTACCTTGGTAATTTCAGCTCTCCGTCTTAAGTAGGGTGGAGACTTACACTATTGCCCATATCCAAGGTTCTATGTTGCTTATGATTGGTTGACATGTTGAGTTTGTGTTACTTCATACTTTCCCAGTCATTTCTAAGGGTGTGTTCTCTGTTTAGTCATTACTAACGCTTCTATCCTGAATTTTCGACTTTCACTTTGACTGTATAATGAAGTGGTGTAGCAACTTGACCTAATATACATTTATACCATGCCTAGTGTCAGTAATAACTGTTTGGATTTCGCTAGTATAACTACTGCAATAGTGACAAAACATTGTGCATAAAAAATCTTCCTGTAACCCAAATTAAGTAAATGATGTCATAGCTGATTACTTAGTTGTATCGGTGAGTTAGTTCTAAAAATACTTGTTTTATGCAGTCTTAATTGCCACCTTATCACTAAGTTGACCAAGTATAAGTTGAGTGCTATCTAGATGTTCTCAGGTAATCTGCAGACTTTGGTATCGGACTAAACCTATCTGCAACCTCCAGGAAACCATTTTCATCTAGAGTATCAGATGTTACCAATAAGCTATTTGGGGTCGTCGTAGCAGTCACATTACGTACCTGTTTGACCTAATCCGAACTACGGTGAATACTAGACAGCTTAAAACTGGTTACCTTACAGTAATCGATTTGCTTAAGGTGACTAGGGTTCTTAAAAAATTAGTTAAAATCGCGAAGTGCGACAGCCAGATTTGAAAATCATAGAAAGACGAGTAGATGATATTTTTGCGCCTATTTCGATTATTTCAAGCTTCATCTAGTTCAAAACCATACACGAATCCTAATAATAAGGTTCATAGTTCTCTGCACAGTTCATATCAACAGGTAGGGATTTTGTGAAACAGTGCCACGTATGTCTGATTACCCTTATTCTTGCTCCAACTTACTGATGTAGGTTATTATGAAACACTTAAGTACTTAGTGTTTAGTTATATGTAACACGTCTCAACTACCAAGTTTTGTAGTTTGCAGCCAAGTCACCTACATTTCATCCCGTAAACCATTCCGCTAATTTCTATGGGGTTATTTTTTTAGGTGAAAATTTCTCCAAACGTGATTCAGCATTGGTACCTCCTGTGACCATCAAGATTTCTTCCGATCCTCATACAGATTCTTCGCTGAACCTTAATGCAGAATCAAATCTAACCCTTGCATCATCAGCTCCTGAACTGCGTACAGAGACTAAAGTAGCTTCCATTGGGTTGCCGGACTCGTTAAATGATGATCTAAAGTCGGATAGTAAACCAGATTCTCCTGGTTAGTTGTGCTTTTCATTTACTTCCTAGTTTTAATTTATCTACCGTTATTTTTGTGTATGTAGCTTAGCAGAAAGAATAAACTTGTTTAGAAGTGGTTTTAGTTTAATCATGTACTAATCCTGGTTGCATATCAGTGTATTCAATAGCTTATGATGCGAAAAATAACTTTCAAAGGTCGTTCGACTTTGTTCGTTTGTATATTAAATTATAGCAATTGCTCGGACTCTTAGATTATTTCAGAAAGAGACGTAGCGAGACAGTGTACTCGTATACTTTTGACTTTTCACTGGTCCAATAAGTGTATCAGCTGTATTGAACTCTGCCACTAAGATAGGAGAAAATGAATCAAATCTATCCCTAATCCTTGTAGATTTTTAGTTGTCATTGACGCAATTACGGTCGAGTACAATTTAACTAATAAGTTATTTGATTAGTGACTAATCGATCCAGCGTGAGTGGATAATCATGTCTTACAATACTAAATTGTAGTCAATAGGTACTACAGCAGAGAATAGTAGTGTGAGTCTTTGGAAAACCACTTCGGTTGTGTGTATCATAAAACATTTTTTAATTTTATTTATTTGAGCACATAAATGTTGGTACAAAGGGGCATCAAATACACATGCGCCACACAAGCCGCTTGATTTGTGCGTGGGCTATGATACTGCCCGAGTGCTCAAACCGAAGCAGATGGTTTTCTTAGGTCACACCCAGAGCCTTTGACCTAAAGGTCTGGTCGATAAGGCAGTCGAGCAACGTCAGGAGATACAGTCCCATGGTAACCGGTGACCAACAATTGGTCCGTACACCTTCGTTCCTTCAGGATACTGGAGCCCAAGTGCACTACTGGTTCGGAATCAGGGTTTTCCAACTCTAGGTGGGTCCTCCGTGCCCACCAACCCGGCTAAAGTGCCGGATATTCGCTTTTCTCAACAACACCTGCTGCGAGAAGACAGTGAGTAGGACTTCACTAGCGGTGGCTGTATACGCGTGGTCATGTGAGAGCATTTCAAGAGGAAGAGTTGACTGTTCCCACCGTCGGCCGTGCCAGGGCATTTGTAGGCACTAGAAAACTAGTCTATAGACAAGTTAGTGTTGGTTGGACTGTCTTCAAGGAAAAATAATTTATTAACAGTGTTTATAACTAAACTTAAGGATTACTCATCTAGTACTATTTCCCTGCCATTAAACCAAATTCTTAGTTTACAATGCCTAACCTACTTATAGCAAAGACTGGCAAACTCCAATTATACGAGAGGGTCAACCGTGAGTTGTTATATGGACTGTGTCAACTAACAGCGTTCGTCCAGTGGGGATCTCATTGATATTGATGTCTAATAACTACATCATTCGTTGATAGTGATGTAAGGGCTTTTTATGATGTTTCCTACATACAATACATCTTCACCCACCCACCCCACCTTTCTGTCGCCTGCTACTACTGCACTGTAGTAATTTAGCCCAAGGTATTTTTGTGACAAAATCAATTTCACTCCACTTGTTGACATAGTTCTATTTAGTAAAGACGCTGACAAAATGCAGAGTCTGCTGACCACTAAGCAACAATGCAGGCATGTTCGGCATGCGATTTTCTCCCTCGAAATGCAAGATGTTGCTTCGGGATCGGGTTGCGTCGACACCCGAACTAGTGATAGGGAGTGAAGTAGTTGAGCGTGTCAACCGCTTCACTTATCTTGGAAGTCTCATCAGCCCTTGTGGTCTGGTGTGTGACGAAATCTCAGCACGGATACAAAAGGCTCGACTAGCTTTTGCCAACTTGCGTCATTTGTGGCGTAGGCGAGATATCCGTCTACCAACCAAAGGACGTGTTTACTGCGCAGCAGTTCGTTCCGTCCTACTTTATGGCAGTGAAACATGGCCAGTAAGAGTAGAGGATATTCGTAGGTTACTAGTATTTGATCATAGGTGTCTTCGAAACATTGCTCGTATATCCTGGGACCACCGAGTAAGTAACTCAGTTGTTAGGAAACGGGTACTAGGTAAGGATGGCAAATCAATTGAAGTAGTGAAACTTAATCAGTTGAGGTGGCTGGGACATGTGTTGCGCATGCCTGACCACCGACTGCCACGACGCGCAATGCTTCATGGTGTAGGAGTAGGTTGGAAGAAAGCTAGGGGCGGCCAGACCAAAACATGGCACAAATCCATGAAGTCACTGACAAGTGGACTGAGCCATGTTGGTAGGTGTAGACTACCTGGTTGGGGACCGCGAGACGATAGCAACCGATGGCTAGCGACCTTGAATGACATGGCTCAAAATCGTTTGCAATGGCGCAGGTGTATCTACTCTCTGTGTTCTCTCACATTAATCTTCTGAATTCTTCATGTCCTTTATTTTCTTTCCCAATCTATTCCACTGGACTATACTCCTTACACAACATCATCAAACCCTAGTGTTCCCTATCACCACTTATACTTTCACTACCTCTACCACTACGGGATTTGAATCGATAACTGCATCTCTGTGCTAATATGGTATGGCAACTCGAACTGGTGTACGTACTTACGAAGTTCCACTTTGTTACTGACTGACTCACTCAAAATAGCTATTTACTAGAAGGAAAAGTTTTAAACCTAAATATGATACCAGTTCATAAGGTTTGGATATCAGTCCAAATCTTCCGGTAGTATAGTTTCCTTTGCTAGGCTCTGGATAGCAGAAATAAGTGGCCGAAAATCCATATTGACACGAATTAACTTTATTCTTCAACTCCCAAAATTTGGACGTCTTATTCGTAACATCTTTCTTCAGATTATTTTACCTTAATGTTTTCCACGCCTGTTCATCTCATAAACCTTGAAATTGTTGGCTTACCGCTGACCTTCGTCTAAGGGCGGATGCTTGTAGGAATTATGAAGTAGGCGTTGTCTCATCACTTTAGACGGGTTCAATTTTCTGTCCTATCTGATGAGGCAGTTTAACGATGGTTCTGTTGGCTTACTGACTTAGTATTGTGAGGGTTGCCCGTCTCAGTTTAATTCACTGGTCTACCAGATTCCCGAAATTAACTTATCTTTTCCAGTCTTAAGTCATGGCATTCGCAATACGTGTTTGTAACTCGGCACCCCCCCCCCAAATACATATAATAAACTACTCACCAAAACTTAGATGGGAAATCGTCCGAACTTTTTGTCCAGTTTGTCGGGATGTAGTCTCCATATTACTAAACTGCGGGTTTGGTTTTTAACATAACACATGTCAGTCATAAAAACGATAGTGGAGCTTTACTATCCGATATGGAACTTTTATTTACGATGCTTATTGTGTATATTTGTTTCCCACAGCATCCACGTCCTCTTCTGGACCAGCAACGAAAACCAGACCACGCTGCGCTGTGTGTCACAAACGTGTGGGTTTAACAGGTAATCATATCTACCGTTTTAATTATCGTGTCGTTTGATGCTTCGAAAATTTACTATCTTGCATTTATACAGCCATTTCATTTTGAGTTGTTTATTATAACCCAGTTCTGTATATTTCTCTTTTGATTGTTCAGGTTTCAGTTGTCGCTGTGGTGGCCTTTACTGTAGCATTCATCGCTACTCTGATGCACACAATTGTTCCTATGATTACCGCGAATCAGGTCAAGAAGAAATTCGTCGTTCTAATCCTCAAATAGTTTGTCAGAAAGTTCAAAAAATTTGATGTTCTCAATATTGCCCTTTTGTAAAAACTGATGATCAGGAATCTTGTTCCGATGATTGTTTTTACTTTACACCTGGTTGCACTTGTGGATAGAGACTATATTTCGTGTTGGTTCCAATGTTTAATCTATTGTGTATACCGTCGTTAAAATCTCAGCTTACCACATCACCAGTTTATCCAGCAGTATTTGTTATGTTTTCTTTTGATGAAATTCATCACCGTCAGTTATACAAGAATGGACAATCATTTTTGTATGAATGGATTATACTGCCATTGATTTCGCTTAAAATGTCAGAAAAGTGATGATTACTGCATATATTTCCCTTACTGGACTATACTGTATTCTAGTGATCCTTTAAATTTTGTGTGATGTTTGAAATTCATTAAATTCAGTCAAAATATACTTTATTCTTTCGTTTACAATTAAGTGTGTATTTTAGACTGTTCATTCTTTAAGCAGCTACCACTTAACTCATTTTGATAAATGTAAGAAGTTTAAATACAACTCTTGTGAGTGTGTTTATGATCGCATCTGTCAGTGCTTTTACACTACTGTCTTTTCAGGTTCATGGCAGCGTAAACTATTTCATCATTTTGCGGCTTGCATGAATCTCTTTAATTATACCGGCACATTCTTGCTGGTTTGTACACATAAAATTCCCTATCAGTTTTATTATGCTCAACTCGGCTGTGTTCTTTCACCCATTTTGTAGTATTGTGTAGGTTACCGTTAGTGTATCACTACTTTTGTGTGTGACATTTTGCAGGTTCATTATTTTATCTTGGCCTTTTTTAGGCAATGCGAAGGACACGTATTAAACTGTTCTCGATTATTAGTTTACTGATTATTGTCATAAATGTCATAAGCTCTATTCACTTTGTATGCTTTACATATTGGGTTCTATTCGTTTTCTTACCATTTCTCAAAGCTATATTGTCTTGTAATTTTCTTCTATCCTATTTAGCTAGCGTATTTGGTTTCAGTCTGCTTATTGCACAAATATATTTTAATGAGCCCATTTCGTCTGTGAAATTTCTCACGGAAATTCAAACCACGTTTATGTAGGTAAATGCTTTTCCAAAAAACACTTAACAGTGTCTTACAGCATCTGTAAGCGTTGCCAGTTCAGTATATGGTAGTGGACCACCTTTGCACGGTTTCATCTTTGAAAAGCTTGGTCACTAAGAACGATTAGGTTTTATTGAGAGTCGAGAATGAGTAGAAACCTAGACTTTTTCCTTGCGGTGAGACGAAACTTAATTACAAGTTAATACTAATTCGTTTTATTTGCTACAGAAATCACCGGTTAAACTGATAGGCATCTGTAATGCTCAATTTCGTACATACGTTCTAATTGTTGTAGTTGTTGATCGTAGTACCGTAATTATTTTTCGAGGTCGCCCTATTAAATGTCGGGAGTGAGACAACTGTCTAAGATTTGAATAATTTTTAGGATATGGTGATGTTCCTGTTGTGCTAGATTGTCGCCATATATTGAGAGTTATTTAGATTTTTCCACGATGGAAGGGGGTGCACTGGAAGACTATTTTGTCCAAGTTACCGCTTTATTTTAGTAGTGCTCAGGGAATAATGCGGAAAACCTGAGTGAAAATATTTCTAACCGACGTTTTGAAAAATGAAGTGGAATTTATTAGACAAGAAGAAACAAACATTTATGGCCGGATCTGAGTTACACGGTAACTATACATAACTGTTTTAAGGAATTCAGCGCCGTGTTAAGAGGCTTCGACTAGCAGTTAAGGCTTTGGGAGGTTGATGTAATTATCCCAGTGCAATCGCTCCAAGCTTTTAAACAATTTCGTTTAGTGATGAAGGCTCATAACTGAATTACCATTACCTAGTCTCGACAGTGGTCCAATCTTAAACAAACTTTCATCCCAAGACATCGGTGCCCAAGTATTGGTAGCTTACATACCTCATTCTCGAACCATACTCTAGAGTGCTTAGTTTACTTCATTGTCAGTGATACTAGTATTGTCTTAACCGATTTACAGTTCGTCTTCCTGGTTTTATTTCGGTGTTCTAAAATAATATGATAACGTGGGCTAACATGCTTTACTGTATTTTGATTATTACTAACTAGCAACTTAAAAGATAAGGCTTTGTAACACCAAAGCAACACAAAACTGACTACTTTTTGGAGTATGCTAGTAGGTTGGTGTCTTTATCGCTCCACCTGTTTTCGTTTGTCAGCTACCAGTAGAGGTTAGACCAATGGGATGAAAATGGTTCCCGGTCGTTTTTTAGGTCTATCTTTATTATTTCAATGGGACTCAAAACAAGTGAAGCTCAGAGCTCTTCATTTCTTTCTATTCAATAGGATACCATATTGCATAGGGAGTTATTAACACTCATTCCACAGACAAATTGAGCCCACTTACAATATTGATGTGTCGAAGTTCCCACATTTAACAGCACAGCAATATGACGTAAAAAGGTTTATAAATAAGATTGCGCTCACTTTTCTACTTTGTCAAGTACTTTTACCGATTTGAAACAGCCATGTAGTCAAGTAATTTACCGTTTTTGACAGTGTTTTAGGAGTTTGTTTTCACATTTATTGTCTAAGACATTTTGTTTCATCCTGAGATTTTGTTATAAGTAAGTGCTTCCTATTCAAACCTTTAAACATTTGGATATGTATCTTGCTGAGAAGTCCATATTAGCATAGGCTGCTTGTCCAAACGTTGTGCTTCTCAAATATCCTAACCTATATAATATTTTCCATACTTGGAGTTCTGTTTTGGAAGACCAGTTTCCTATAATGTTGCGATAGAAACGTATTCAAAGGGAAGTCTATGATAAATTCAGAAAATGATCTGATAGTTCATTCAGAACATTTGAATGTGAGTCCACATTGCCAATAATGTTTGCTTTCGAGTCTCCGTAACAGTTAATTGTCCCAACTGTCAAGAATTGAGTCCAGACTCCATAGTAAAGAGCTTCCCTCACTTTTAATAGTTGAGGTGATTGAAATTAAATATTGTAAACTAGTGGTCCCGCATCAGTAGTCCTAAGGCTAAAGGCACATCCGAAGACCTAAAGACCCTGTTTCTAATCTCCAATGAGTTTGTGGACGAACACTGCTAAGGAAGAAACAGTTGTTCAATCTCCTATGGTTTCTGTATTGTGTAACGCCGATTATTTCGTGCTGTAGACTATGAAATTCAAATTATTGTAGTTGACTTATTTGTTAAATTTCCTGTGTTTTCTGAATCTAGATGATAAGATTCATAATGTGTATGTTTAGTTTTTAATCATAAACTAATTCTTTGGAAATGTAGTTCCCAGCTAACATTTACTAGTTCCTATAAATAATCCAAGGAACTCAAATAACTATTTAAACCAATTTATTGTAAAAAAAGACAAATTCTTAGTATGGTAGTGACGTAATACAAGTTCCTCTGAAAATAGAAAGAATGTATTGGTCATTGATAGTGTTAATTAAAGTAATAATCTTAAATAACAGTTACTACTTGTAAATACTATTTATTATTGATTTTCAATTTTTACTCATGTGATAAATCACAAAGAAATACGTAATCTCTTTTTACAAAATAATTAGCCTATTCCAAACTGCCTTAATCATTTACTAACAACATTCTATATCCCCCCACTACTTTACCATACTTTTCAAATACTTTAGAATCATCATCAAGTCTCAGATACTCGCCAAATTTTTATATTCTATAGGAAATGTCTCCCTAACTGTTGCGATTTGATTACAATTCGTGTGAATAATGTATACCTGGCTTAGCACCACCCGAACAACACTCGATAGATGAATCACCAGTTAGTTCTTTCTACACATTTATACTAATTGTAATCTACTATTACGATAATAAATGATTTTTACTCACTGGGATATCAAAAATGTAACATCAATTTATCATTAATAGATGATTCGTTCTTAAAACACTCCTTTTATATATCCAAATTGTTATCAGTTCATTGCATATGGCAGTTTCAACATACTCAATGTATGCATAATACGTTAGACACGAAAATCGATTGTCCAATATTTGTGATTAACCGATTGGTATATCTGCACACTAAACTAATAATTATCAGCCCTTATTAAAATGACATTAAACAAGATCACTTCTTTTACCCGTTCCTTGACCACTAACTATTTGTCGAAATTTGATTTTGCCTAAAAGATTTAATTACAGAAACCCGAAAAGATGATCAATCATTCGAGTACATTCATCTAAAAATAACTATCTTCACAAAATTTTATCAAAATATTAATGTAGTTAATATTACTGGATGAGCAAAAAGATAAAGTTATACTGCACAAAAATTACATTGAATTAATTCGAAAGTCAGTGGAAATCATGATGAAAAATAACCTGTCTGACCCTAAAGATTTTTGTACTCCCTGTCAGCAATTAAACGAACTTGTTTACTTTAATAGGCACGAAGGAAAAAACCTCTAACCACTTTAAGAAGCCACCAACAGTAACCAAATATTCGATCCCATTGATTGGGCCCGTGAAAACTGCTAACCCTGAACCATGGATCCTTAGGCTACAGTCATGGAACTGGTGGTACTCAATTGTTTATTTTTGTCGCTTACAAACACTAAAATCAAACTATCTTTTGATTCATAAACGACCAATCGGCAAAACTGCGAGCAACCAATGTCATACAATTAATATCCAAATGACGTTTGTAAAAGTGGTATGGGATTTGTAGAGAAAGTGAGTTGGGTACCAACCAACGTTTTCTAAATATTGAATAGTTGTTTACGATTCATGATAATCTCTAGCAACGATGAGACTTTTTTGCTCTTTACCGAGAGGTGTCTATGACAGCTCATTAATAACAAATCTAAAGTTCTTCTGAATTAATGTGTTATTGCTTAATGTGGGTTAATGGTCTGTAACCGATACTGCGCAGTCGTTTATCAACATGGAATCTATGTTCGTTTCCTCTGAGGAGGTTGGATAATATCTCAATAGGAAATACAAGCGCC